ATTGTAGTGGAATATTTGCATCGTGGCATGTTTTTATTGGTCGATTGCAATGTAAATAACCACGTATTCTTTGTTAAAAGGAGTATAGAATTAGATACAAAGACAACACAATAAATTAGATGTTTCGAATTTACGTCGCAACACCCTTGCTTGTCGCAATAATATTTTTACAGCGTACATTTAACAAACACACATTATCCCTGTATTCAATGCATAAAAAACTTAATCTCGCACTGCCAGCTACAAAAGGTTGCTAAATTTAGATTTTTCGTCTGTTCATTGCGACCTCTAAAGATCAACGCGTGAAAAGGAATGGTAATAAGACATTTTATGAATCAAATGTTTTCCGTTGTTGATACTTTGAAACTTAACAAATCTCTTTCGTTCAAAGATATTTAAAATATTTATTTATAATATAACGTTGTGCTTTGCTTTATTGTATGACTGTTTGTATGGCGCCGGACTCTCATAAACGGAAATGTAACTATGTATATGTGTCGTTCGGAAATAGTTGATAGCAGCACCGAAATGAAATGTATGACTCGACAATTTATTTCGTTTGCCTATATTCTATCTTTCACAATGTTTGTTTTGTTTATTGATTCGTGTATGAAAAGAGACAAATAAAACGTGGTTAAGAGTTTCAGTACGGGGTTTTTAGGATTTGAACGCTTCTAGTAATTGTTTAACACAGTTTTTGGTGAAGTAATAAGTAAAAACGTAGAGTAGGTAAGTAATAATAGAAAGTGATTTTTTTGCTTTGACTTTTGCCCTTTATCATTTTTATAAGTAAGATTATTATCGCTATATTAGACCAAATTAAAATTGATAGTAAGTTCACAATTCAAAAGAAATAAACTTTTTAACATTCACTTCTAGTTATAAGTTCTTCGAAAGAATTGTTTTAGTCAAAGTTTTTTTAGATTAAAATTATTAAATCCACCGAATTATTTCTCTTAAGAACGATAAATTTTTAACGAATAGAGATAACAAAGCCGTAGTCTCTCGACAAATTTGAGAATCGTTTATGATAAGGTTTTACGTAGGTGCTTACTCAGTAATCAACTGTGGCGATAATTCGGATGTTACGTGTGTTAATAGTTTAAAATGAGTCATATGCGCTTTTAATTATGTTTGGTTATAGCGCTGTTTTGTACTAAAATATTTACTTTTATTCGGTTGTAGCTACTTAGTCTTTTAAGAGTTAAATTATTTGAAATATTATTAATGGATTTTCTTACAGACGGTTTGTGTATAAAAGTGATTTGACGGCAGATGTATGGATTAGTGAATATTATATTCGCCATGTATGGAATAAACCGCCAATGATGATGGATCCAGCGTAGAATTTAGTGATGAAATTGAGCGATAGTTGTATTTTGACCTTAATCTATGTCATTTTCTTTAGGATAGTTAAATTGTATAGGGATGGAAATACTGCTAGAGGCTCGTGTAAACCAGTGTAATAATTGTGAACACACGCGGATTGTTAGATGTTCGAATTTGAATTTCATAGTAGCATGAGATTTTAATGGGTAGGTGTTTCATTAAGAGTTAATTTACTTTACTGGTATGTAATGTTCATTATAACTATTAATTTATAGCGTTCTTAACTTTAGCTTCATTAATATAGTAAATAAAGCATTGTTAAAAACTACAGCTGCAGTTTGTCCTTCATTGGTATAGATGATAATTTGAAATATGTAAAGCTAACCCGCATGCCCTGTTTATCACCAGTTTAATTCAATTGTCATCTATTGAGGAGATTATTATTAAGTTTAAAACGATCGTTCATCGTCTGGACAAAGATGTAGGAAATAATCAACTCAGGGTCACAAAAGAATGGATTGTCATGTTCGAATGAAGAATGCCTTTTTTAAATAGTTTTAAAAATATAATCTTACTAATATTATAAATGCGAAAGTTTAGATGGATGGATGTTTGTTAGAGTTTGTAGCCTAAACGGCTAGACGGATCTCGATGAAATTTGGTATAGATGTAGAGGATAGTCTGGAAGAACACATAGGTTACTTACTTTTGTATTTTTTTTGTTCCACGCGGACGGAGTCGCGGGCGAAAGCTAGTTTGCAATAAAAGAATACAGAACATTTTAAAATTCGTAAAAGACGTAAAATACTGCACTTATGTTATTCTCGCTTTAACTGTAATATATTCAATACTTTACGGTCCTCCCGTAGAGTTGTACAATGCATACGAAATTCTAGACCACATAAAATGTGAATGTTTAAAATCCTTACCTAGTTCCAAATCTTTGGTATTTGTGATACTATGTCATTGAAATGGAAATATGGAAAATTATTTCAAAAATTACTTCTTAAGATTATTTGTGAACAAAAATGAGGATTTAGCGAGGTATTGGGATACATAGAAAGGGGAAATATCCATTTTTGTGACTTTTGACTTTGACTTTTTTTTGACTGATTCGTCACTGTTTGCCACGTTTTAACAGCTTCTTTGGACTTGACTACTCTAAGCCTCGTTTATGAGTATCTAAAACGATCCTCTCCCTCAGGAGCCTCCGTTCGGGCCGTTACTTCATTGTTTTTACCGGATTGGGAGGCCGCCGGGCTCTTAGATCACTTCGGTGGGCGTTCAAGGATTGACTGGGCACAAGGGCCCCCAAGAGGGGGCCTCTGTTTCGGCTGTCATTCAATAAGCGTTTAGCATTCCGATTGAAGGGTGCCCGAGAGGGCCAAACTTCGGTTTGATCGGTTGCTGCTATCTGATAACTGTTATTGTTAATAAGATATCTAACATTACAAACACTTCGGAAAGCGTTATCGTTGAGAGAAAAAGTGGCGGAAGAAACTCCAGCAACGCTTCTATCATTAATAGGAGAAAATCTGCCGGCTATGAGGCTGTATAGCGACAATTTTGTGATGACGTCAATTGTACATTTGTATACGGAATATCGCCATTATTAGCGAATGGCGATTATAATTGAGGTTTATGAACCTCTCCATTCATAGCATTGTTTAACATATTTAGACCAAACGTCATTAAGGTTGTTACGAATTACTTAAATCATTTTAGCGAGTACGTTTCATTTGATGTTTTATGTTCAATTAAAGATACTTCTAGTAGACTGAGCTTCGCGTTGTGCTGCTTTTTTGTGTAAATTAGCGTTTTATTTTAAGGAGATATGTATCTGTCTAAGTATACTCGTATAGATTCTCTCGTATAGATAGAATTAATGCCTAAAGTTTGCCCTCATCCTATAGAGTATCATTGATTGTGTTCAAAACAATTCCACTTAGTTTGCCTAAAGAACATTTCTATGTTAATATTTAATTGATGGGTACGAATACTGATTAAATTGCATGTTTATACCACTTTGGTAGAATTTATGTCTGGAACGCTCTTAAATACAACTTCGCTGTCGAGATTCCCCCATTCTAGATGTCAAAGACAGTGAAAAATTTCTTTTTCTGTATTTTTGTGGGAAATTTATTGTTTACGTTTTGAAAAAAAAAACAGTGAAAAAGATATTTTAGTAGTAGCAGTTTGTTTTTAGTGACTCGTAGTTAGCTTAACAAAATTGGAACTACGTAGTAATCTGGACAATATCTATATTTAATTATATTCATAAACGTATAATGTATCGCTTAATTAGACAACATTCCTGTTAACAAGAAATTACATCTGAATCTCTTGATAAGACCCAGAGGCTGCAATTAAATGTGTTTATTATATACGTATCTCGATTATGTACAAGCTAATATATTTTTTTAACGTATGAAACTTTGTGGTTAACAAAATATAGCAGTATTGTCTTAAAGCCGGTATCATTGTATAAAATTAAGAGTAACTAAAGAAAAATACAGAGCAAACAAAGTGTTATTTACTACCTGAGATTGACATTCAATTATCAAATGTTCATAACATACATGAAACATAAAAATCTTCCTTTCGCTGAAGAAGCTTAACAGATTTTAAGATTCATTCCGTATTTTCTTAAAAACTACTTTTGAAAATAAAATCTGATTTCATACGTAATGACAAGTTAGAGATTTTTTTTAAATCTGCTTGATTATTTTCATTCTTTAGAAGTTTATTGAAACTACACTAAAGTACGTAACTACATCAAAATTACAAAAGTACTCAGGGGATTGATGTAAAGAAGACTTACAAAAAGTATAGTAAAACAAATGGAACGCTTCTAATCAAAATCTTTTATTGAATCTTTTTCTTGGTAAGTGAACGTGTTTTGAATTAAGATGCTACGAACTGTACGTGATAAATGTTAAGTGCTTTTACGCATTATTAGCACTTTTCCTGACCAAAATTTTCATTGGATACCATTTTTGGAGCGATGTCTTAATCTTATTAAGAATAGCCTTTTAAAAATTATTACGGTTATTAGTTACACAATATTTTATTCGTAAGTAATGTTATTCTACATTTTATATAGACGTTTGTTTTACATTGTATTGTTTTTTTTACATTTGTCCTTGCATGAATAGGTAAGTAATACTTAAGCTAAGATTCGAACCTGATACCTCACTTTAAAGTTATAACTTTGTTACCTTATTATGTTCTATTTAATGTGTGGAACATTAAGTATTAAAAACATAAAATGATTTAGATTAGAATAATTTGTTACAGTAAGAACACGTCACGTAAAAGACTTACAATAAACGACATATGTGAAAATAACAATTACATTTACGATAATATATTATTATCCAATTCTTACTACTTATAAGCAAATTTAAACAAGTAAAAGGTAAACAAATGCCGGTTCATATAGTTAAAATACTTGGGTCATAAAATATCTGTAACGATCTGTATTCATGGTATACACTTTATTTGAGGCCTATTGTATAATTTAGAATATTTAAAAAGTTGATTTAACTTAGCGACATATTACAGTTATGATTTGTGCTAACTTGTTACTAAGAATTTTGAACGCAACGTCCACAAACACTGGACCGTACAATGATACACGCTAGGCAATATAGTAATAAAGAAAGCCATACCTTGAATCAATTGTTATTTGCAATTCTTGATGTTTCTGTTGATTCTTCTCAATGTACTATCTGCTATTATTGTTATTCAACGCACTGCTTCAAACGATACTACACACGGAGTTAAATTGTATGGAATTGTATTTGAATGTTTATTTGATAGGAATAATTTAATAGAAATGGGTCAGGATATGAGCGAGCGATAGTTACGCAGTGACCGTGCGGCATGCACGAGCGCTACTCGCGGCTCTCGGTTATCAACTAAGCACATTAAAACGCCGGTTGATACACAAGCGAACGTTTTTCTTGTTTGTTGTTAACATCACATACATCGCACCCAATCTGGACTTATGAAATTACTCGTTTCCTACGGCCGGCTCTAATGAAAGTTTTTAATTAATTCTAAGGACCGTATGGTCACTGTGTGGGAACGTGGATGTAGAAACTATTCGAGAAGCGAACTAACTAGTTGCAGGATTATTATTTTTTAATCTGTGCAGGTTCCACGGTCGTTGCCTTTGTCTTGAGTCATAGGATTGCATGTAGATAAGATGTATTGTCTATTACTTCCGTATATTCTGGTTTGTACACCGCGCAAGGTAATCGTAAAGTTTATGGAACACTGTTATAAACGATAAAGCCGGTGGTCACATCGAAACAGTTAACCTTTGGCCACAGGCATCTGAAACAAGAAAATAAGTTAAAGTTGCAAACTTTGATTAAGCAGAGGAGATTACAGACAGGAAAAATTGACACATTCTGCATTTTTCGCTTTTAAAAAATGGTGAGAGGAGAATTTACCAACTAAAATTACCTCCGGTCCCAATTTCGTCAGGTGAAACAGAAACATTTCCGCTTCTGTATTGCGCTTAAATTTTGAAGACTGAAATATAAGGTTCGATTTCTTCTTTGGACTCATCTCACAATCTAAAATAATGAAGACGGACGGTTTTATAAATTTTTAATGATAATGCTATAAATTAAGGTTAATGTATCATGTGAAGTGGATTTTGTATTCTCCAGAGACGAGGGCTGGCTGTCTGGAGCTGTAGAATAATTAACATATTTTCGGATATCATACCATCACGACGGCACAAGAAATTTCTGTGAATAATTCAAGGTAAACTCGACGCGCGCTAGAATTTTAATGCATGTGAGAAAACTGTACGTCTATGTTTAGTATCAAACTAAAACGGCATAATTAGCCATCGTCTAATTTGCTACTCGGAATTGTATCAAGGATATGGTTGGTGTACTCATAGATGTGTGATTTTACCACTAAGTACTACCGAGAGGTACATATATAAGTACATACTTAAGTAATTTTGTCAAGATTTTAGACAGCAATGCTTTAAACAGAAATGAATGTTTCATTTGGTATAGGGTTATTTGAGGCGCTGTATTTTATCTACTAATCACTACTATTCAAGTAAAGTGCATTATTTACGTATAATTCTTTCGTAACAGGAGATCACCGAATGCCAAGTGCGCATAAGGTGAACCAAGATTTTAGCCTAAGAGTTACTGTGTTAAATAAATAAGTTCTGTCAATGTCATCCCTTGTTTCAATATATTAACTACATTGTTTATAGGTTTGAATGTCGGCTGTAGTTGTAAGTCACTCACTACGAATATATTTGTTTCAATAAGTTTGTCCCAACTTGCTCTAACTTATAGTGCATACCTATCTACATATAGACTCTGTTTTGTATGTCTACCTATATTAGGTTTAGGAATAACTTTTGTAAAAGTAGTAATTAAGTAAGAAAATAAGGGTTGTATTTAAAACTTGATCAGACCATTCCGAAGCTAACCAGATAAGAGATAAGGGTGGCTTTCTTTAACGATATACTATGGACAACCTTCGTGTTCTCAAAAGATTTGTCCCCCAAAAAGGTGCGAATTGTCTTTCTTCACAAGTGAGCAAGTTTCAATGAGATATTTCTACTCTATAACGTGCAATACACTCTTACGTGGATACAATCGACGTTTATTTTACAACAGATAAGTAAAAATGTATGTAATCATAGAAATTTAAAAAAATCCTTGATGTTAAAAAGATTTGAGGCATCTCTCGGGCACCTCTATCAAAAAGGCGACAAAGTATGCTTTGCAGAAATTTGCCTTAAATAAATGTACAGGCGTTAAACAAACAACGCTAAGAACTAAGAAATTATTATAGAACTAGGGCGTTTTAGGTACCCTATTACATTATAAATACACAAGTAGTTGTTTTTTATCCTAAGTTTTATTACCCTTTTGTCAGCTGTCATAGCAAAATTTTACACGTATGTTATTTAAAAAAAAGATTCGAAAGGCGTTAGCATAGACTTAAAAATATCTGACGAGAATGTAATAATTTTAGTCCTTTGTTCGTTTTTGATTGTACTGAACCGTTTTCAGAACAAACACTAAGAGTGAAAATAATTGAATCGTATATTTAAAACAGCATTTTGGGCCAGCGTTATGCTAAAAACAACCTTTTGATATTAAAATGTGACCATAAATGCTATTATCCTTGTAATATTAATTACCTTTTGAAATACGAACAAAGCGTCCATTGGATGGGCGTTATTCAAAATATGAAATTATTTTACAGTGCGTTTGAAATTAATTTTCACTGCATTTTTATAAATACAGAACCTAAATTAATAAAATTGTAAACTTATGTTTTCTATGTTTTTTGCAATTGCCATCAACAGTGAGATGGCAAAAGTAGTAACCATTTACATTACGAGTACATTACCTTTGTTATTTTATTTGTAATAAATTGCTATTTTATTACAAAACGATATTTATTACTTGGACAAGACAAAATCAAGAGTTAAAAGAAAGATTGTGTTTGATTTAATTAACATCATAAAGGACACGAACGATAAAGCTTTGGCAATAAAGTAATCAATACAATCATAAATTAATTTAGTTGTTTCATCAGGGCTTTATAAACGAAGGTTTTACTCTATAAATTTAATGTCTTAATTTCGATATATGTACAGTGAAAGCTGATTATGACTTGGTACACATTTACATCAAAATAACAATAGAAGCCTAACCGATGTTCAGTTCAGTTCAGTTCTAATAATGCAATTCGACTGTACAGTTAAAACTGAAGATCTCTATCGTGTTTATTCCTATGTCTTAAAGATAACATTTAGCAGTAGTGTAGTATTGTATTTAGCATAAATTAAAATGTTAATGAAACAATGGAAAAAAGAAAACAAACGAAAAAAATGTATATACATAATTAAAAAAAAAATAACTCAATAATGTATAATTTAATAAGGATTATGAAACCAAAAAAAAAAACAAAACAAATAAACTGTGCAAAAAAGAGTACGGACCAAGAGTCTGTAGACGTTGATAAAAAAAGATAACATTTAATGAAAGCTAGATTAAGCAAGATAATGTATAAAATAACCTTGTAAAATACTGAGTCCTTTGCTACGTAACAATCAAAGTGCCGTTCAGGAACATTGCCTATAAACTTTGTGTACTGTGACGGATAAACGAGGTAGGACTAATTAAACTTTTATCCTAATAAACACACTGAAAGTACGATATTATTAAATTACAGATTTTGATTTAATTTTAAATAAAGAAAACAAAGTACCTATGCTTTTTATTTAAATTTATCTAAAAACAATATGTATTTTTAAAGGAAAGTAGAAATATGTTTTCGAATTTTACGTAGGTCTTAATTAGTAAAGGGCAGTTAACACATCTGCGTGGTTTCAAACTCGGGGTAACATGTTTATCTTGGCCACGAGACCGGTAATTGTTACTTGTTTAGGTTTCCGCGCTCTTTCCGCAATAATTATTGTAGTTTGTAATAGTTAATTAAGTTTGTATGTGATGAAGGTTTTGTTTTCAAAATATGGTTATTTTACAAGAAATTTCAATAAATATCACGATGAGTCTTTTATTGTAGTAACTTATACTATAACTTACATTGAATACAGGTTAATGTGCATAATCTAAATGTAATAATGTTGTATTCTATAAATTGCCTCTAACATAGTAAAGAAAACGTCCCTTTGAAGCCCTGGAAATAAAACAAATGGAATGACGCATCACAATTGTCATAAAAATCGATCACAATAGAATGAATGAATATCGAATGAGAGGAATACGTACATAGTAAAATCTAGAAATGAAAAAGAACCAAATTTAAGAGAATAAACTGTTATGGAACAAAGAATTTCGAGAAGCAAAGCGTTGCAGATATCCGATTGCTGAAATCGAGTAGAAAATTCTCTTGAACATTGAGAACATTTAATGATTTAAAAGTCCCCAAAGCACAAGTGTGTCTGAAGCTAAATTTATTTCATTCTTCCACAAATACGAAAAAAGTAAAGAATTTCTATGGATACTAAAGTTAAAATATAAAACAGATCTGAAACATTTTTATAAAGTACTAGCTTTTACCCGCTACTCCGTCCGCGTGGAATAAAAAAAAACAAAAGCAGTTAGCCTATATGTTCTTCCAGACTATATTCTACATTTATGCCAAATTTTATCCAGATTTGTTCAGCCGTTTAGGCTACAAACTCTAACAAACATCCACCCATCCATCTAAACTTACGCATCTATAATGTTACATTTATTGATATTGATATAGTGTGTATGAAGTGTATATTTTTTTTTAAATGTGTATACTGCATGGGTTACAGGCTTCGTGATTACCACCCTTGAATGCAACATTCAGTTGATTTAAGGGCTACAATTGAACTATCAGTAACGCTATACCAAATTTCAAATTGGCTCTATTTTTGTGTGTTTCCGCAGTAATTTTCCGATCAGAGTAACCCATTTGCGCGACATAAGTATAGATTAATCATGTTCCCACTCACGCCCACGAACGCGTTTCGTCCCCTAAAGCTTTATAGTCACTTTTATTTTTTTAACGAATACGATTACGACCCAAATTCTATCATTTTGTCCTTTCATCATTAAAACTTTTAATAAAGTAACTCCTAGCATAATTATCATATTAAAAATTATTCCATCTCGTTGATACTAAAACAAAGACATTTAACATATGTATAGACTTGACACACATTTTTTCACCGGTAACTTCTTTGATAGGTATTATGTTACTTGTCAAGTTTAATATGCCACCGCATGTTCTTGTATTGGCATGTTATATAACATTTTAAAAAATTCTAAGTCTCAAGTGATGTGTCAACTTTGCTATCACCATATATTTTTAGAATCTTTTTGACTAAAAAGATCATCCCTTGTTGAAATATTTTTATATTAAGGAATGTTGTCGTGTAATTAAGCCATGTATTAAAGGGTACTTGAACGAAAGAAATCCTTAAAATATTTACTTCGGTATTTTAATAAGGTAACGGTTATAATACTTCATACGCAAAATATTTACTTTGTCGCGGCTTCAGACAATGGTCT